CATTCTAGAATAGATTCTGAAATTCTGTTTTGATTAATTATAACAAAATGAGACTCAAGGAGCTATATAGGGATCTTAACCTACACTCACCAATGGCTAACACACACCCCTTGTAACTGAATATAACTAGCTCTAGAAAGCTGTAACAGAGGTGCTAGCCGACACAAGTCTGAATAACAGAAAGAAACTAGAATGAAAAATAAAGCATTCTACATTTAACTCTTACGAAATGGAAAAAATGATGAAATATGTCATCCAAAAACTGAGAAAAAGATATCACTGTTGGCTTTTAGAAGCATTAGCTTTTTGAAGTATGATTCGAGTCTTTGGCTTTCTTCTGCATGAGAGTTAGTTTATATTCATTTGTCTAATATTATTCATGCGAGGAATTTTTTTTAATATTTCCATGTATCTTTGTATGTTTATGTTTGAGTGGCTAATGAATAGCAACATTTCCATGCTCTAACAAGTTTAGTGTATGTTCATTTATGGTCTATCATAAATGCTTTCAATTTTTTGGCAGCTTGTTTTGATCTTTTAATCCCATGGCCAACATAACATGTTAAAAAAACTAAATATATATATATATTTTTCATTTTTTAGTCAAAGAAGGCAAATCCTAGGGAATTGAATCCTTATCTTAAGGATGATGGAAGTGGTTACCCAGAAGAAAGTGATGGAGTTAAAGTTGCTGCAAGCAACCTTCTATCATCTTCCCTTGTTGGGGATGGAGGAGCAAGTTGGAGACTTAAAGCATTAAAGCGTGCACAAGAGCAAGCAGCTCGAGAAGGACGAAGCTTTCAAGAGGTTATATGCACTTGCTTTTCAAATATTTTTTATTTCTATTTTTATAGTAGTATTCCTCTATTTATTCTGTTTGGAGGGTAGAGGAAGCACCACTCAGAATTGTTAGCATTTAGGATTTGAACATTTGCTTTGTTTGTAGAAAGGTAAAACCTTTGTAAGGAGAATTGTCTCCTCTTGTATATACTATTTCGCTCTCCAAAGCAGATTCATTCCCGTACTTTCTATTTACCATTTTGTTCTTTAATTACGCTTCAATGGTTATTAACGCATTCAGTATGTGGATATGTACAGGTTGTGGGAGAAAGGTGGGGTTCCCTTGGTGAGTTGACTGCATCTGTTGCATCAGGAACAGCTGCCCCAGCCCGAGCTCATCTACGTGCTATTAAAAGTAGACAAAGAAGGGTAGCCGAAGATAATTCACCAGATTCTGAAAAGCCTATCCAAAGAGATTCTAAAAGGGTAACTTTGAGAACAAATAGAAAACTATAGCATTTTTATTTTTTAGGCGGATTCTATTTTCAATAAATTATTCTGGGTATGAATCTCATTTATGAAATATATTCCTTTGTACTTAACTGAATTTTGCAAATATCAACAGGATCGGCACCATGAAATGAAAGCGCCTAAAGTGCAAGATTCATTATCTTGGAGAAAGCGCAAAAGCCAGTTTGTGGTAGCTGAGGGTGCTGAGATTGTTGCTGCTGCAGCATCTAGCTTAAATAAATTTGCTAATGATGGAAGCTTTATGCGGGAGTTAGTCAGTAAGGTGAGTGATAACTCAGATGTAAATACACCCAGTGAAGGAAATGCAGTAGCAGTACAAAATAATATGAGTGCAAACCAGTTGGCAGCCAAGGCTATGCAACTTCGTTTGAAAGGAAAGAATGATGAAGCTGAGAAATTAATGGTAAGACCATAGGATGGGAGAGTGTGCATTATTTTTTAGACTTTGTTTTCCTTTAATATCTTGTCTACTAAAGCACATCCTTATACTTTCATGATTATTTTTAAGTTGTTAACTTTCCATTATTGTTTTGGTGGGCAGGAAGAAGCAAAGGTTTTGAGCACAACACAGGCAAATGAAAATCGTGCAAATAGATCAAGAGCTGAGGGAAGTTCAAAAAGGTATTTTTCTATCTTGACCTCTGTGTATATGTTTTTGGAAGTCCTTAATCCCACACATACAAGTATTTTCATGTATTCTGCATGTGAAAACATTTTGGCTAAGATGAATTTCTTGTATTGCAGCAAAACAGCGTGACTTTTATTGTCTTCGATTTTTTTTTAAGTTTGGAAACATGATGTCTTGCATCGATAGTATTGGTTTCTACAACCTTATACGTATATTTTTACTTTATGGTAGGTATGCTATGCAGAGGATATCTTCTGAACAGAAGAAAGGCGAGGATGATGCCGATATGAATCTTGCTCGCAATATAATGCAGAACAAACAGTTTAAGGTTCACAGTCAAGCAGATGATGAATATGATTTTGAAGATGGTCCGAGTAGAAAGAGTAAAAAGAAACAAGGAGGTGAAGACCCTAAGAATATCCAAAATAAAATGAATGCAAATCGATTCTTGACCCAGAAAGAACGTTGCCTCTTTTGTTTAGAGAATCCAAAACGGCCTATGCATCTTGTTGTGTCCATTGCAAATTTCACATATCTTATGTTGCCACAGTTGCAGCCTTTGGTGCATGGTCATTGTTGTATTCTACCCATACACGTGAGTAATTTCTTCTACTATAAGTTTTATAAAGGTTATAATAATTTAAAGTTGATGAACTGATTTTTTAGTTAGTTTTTTTATGTCATAAAGAACTTCATTATTTTTATTTTATAGACTCATAATTTGCAATTTTTCTTATCATCAATATGACAGCATGAATCAGCTACAAGATCTGTGGATGATGATGTGTGGGTAGAGATCCGAAACTTCAAGAAATGCCTTATTATGATGTTTGCAAAGCAAGATAAGGAAGTAGTGTTTCTTGAAACTGTGATGGGATTGGCACAGCAACGGCGCCATTGTATGATTGAGTGCGTTCCTTTACCGAAAGATATTGCTAAGGATGCTCCTTTATACTTTAAGAAGGTCAGATATTAAACTTTGTTATATTTTGTAGTTCTGCATTGCTCATATTTGTCTCTCTCCGTAATTCATGCTTTTCATTTATGCATCCTTAAAATGAACTATTAATAGGCTGCACATAATTGTATTACCACGTTGTGTTTTAAAAGCCAACATGAAAGTATTATTAGCTTTCCTTTGACACAATACAATTACCATCTTTTGGAGAGTAACTTGTTAAAACGATTCTAGTATGATTAAAATTATCTACTCAGTTTCATAGGATGTCCTTCATGGATGAATATCAAATATATAGTGCAAACTGCATATAAGAATATGAGCCACAAATTTGATAGTGAAAAGGTGGAGTGAACCGTCGTCATTTTTGTCATTGCATAAGTTGGTCTAATGGGAGATTTATCTGAGCCTAAAACGAAACTTGTTGTGTTTAAATATGGATAGTTGAATCTAAAACCAAACACATCCATCCCAAACCCATATATAAAACTGGATTAGTTTCTAGATCAGCTAAAAAATTGCTTTATTTTATTTTGGAGTGTAGTTCTATTCAGTTTATAAGCTTTTTGCACAACCCTTATCATGCATGTTCTTCTGATGAGTGTACCACATGTGGTTAAAACTTCGTTGAATGCAAACCTGTAGAAATGGAACATATTTGTTTACACGATGTTTCTGCTATCACTCATTTACCTATTTTTCACTTGGGATTATTGTTCCAGTGCTTTTATTGTTGTTGACTGCACATTCCTTTCTATTCATGATTCCATTTCTGTTTTTGTTTCTATTGTTTCAAACCATAAGCTCACTGTCTGTTTGTAAAATGACTTAAATCACAGGCAATTGATGAAGCAGAAGACGAGTGGAGTCAGCACAATGCGAAAAAACTGATTGATACCAGTCAAAAGGGTCTTCGCAACTCAATTCCCAAAGACTTTCCATATTTTCACGTTGAATTTGGCTTAAACAAGGGATTTGTTCATGTCATCGACGACGAAAAGGACTTCAAAAGTAGCCTTGGATTGAATGTTCTAAGAGGCATGCTGCATTTACCCGAGGAAGATATGTACAGACGGCAGAGGTATGCAGCATTGGACGTACAGAAGCAAGCAGTGGCTAGCTTTTCCAAAGAGTGGAAACAGTTTGACTGGACAACAGAACTTCGTTGACATTTTTTGTAGTATTTATAGTCTGATAAAAACAAATCATGCATTGTAACAAAAATAATCAATGGAATGAAGTATTAAATGAGTCACTCTTTTTAATCAAGTATCAATTATTTTATTCTAATAGCAACTATGGTAATGGTGATTACACAATTAGTTTTAATTTATAAAACAAACAACTTCACACTAGTTTTAATTATGTAGAAAATCAATATTAGATTATAAAGAAAATTTATATACCTGCTCACATCAAATTACTATATTTATTGCCACCTTTCAAATACAATATATGCTTTTTTGTCAAAAGAAATTACTAATAGCCAAATTCACAAGTTACAACTAAGGTTTCATCTAATGCTTGCATAAACAACTCCTACACCTCATTTCTTTTCTTACTAATAGTTCTGTAATCCTTTTAAGTTGCACTTCTTCTACTGCCTCAGAAATTGGAAGTGATACTTTAAGTTACAATTTGTAACTTTTGAATTTAAATGTGATTTTTATAATAAAATTTGTTGTTCAACTTAGTTTTCCATAATCGTATCCAAACATAAATCACTTTACATCTAACTCATTTTTTAACTAAAAAATCAAATCCCTCAAAATCAATTCTCTCCACCACCGCATAACCAAGCATACAATCATAGGACTTCACTTGCAGCAAATCTGACTATTTCAGAGTTGATGTCTAAACACATCACTCTATAACATCTTAGGAAATATAGCATAGCAAAGAGTTGGTGTCTAAACACATCACTCTATAACATCTTAGGAAATATAGCATAACAAAGTTGAACACAGAATCTCAAGAGGGAGAGCCAGTGAAGTCAAAGACTAGAAGCTTAAGGTAATCAAACAATCATTAAGATATCTTAGTGTGATTTAGATGGGTCTATTAACCTCCCAACATCCTGGAATTCCTTTGTGTAAGGTTAAGTTAAGCAATTAATGGAGTATTCCTCAGTTTATCAACTTTCAGAGCAAAATGTTTCACAGTATTCTCCATTCCCGCATCCATTAGAGCACTCTTGAAGGCACTGAACATATTCGCAGTAGGTCGAATTCCAACATCCAACATTTTATGAAAGTACTTACATGCTTCATCCAACTTATTTTCACGACACAAGGAAATGATCATCGTCGAGAACATGTGAATTCCAGGAAGGATTCCCTTGTCTTTCATCTCATCCCAAACTACCATTGCCATATCCAATTGATTTTCATTACAAAACATCCTAACCACAATCGCATACGTGTTTGCACTCGGCTCACATCCCATCTCACTACTCATTCTCTTGAAAACCGAGTAAGCTTCTTTTATTCTTCCACCCTTTATCAAATGAACAAGTATTATATCATACGTTCGAGAATTCGGACCGATCCCAAGTTCTTTCATCTCACCAACGATTCTATATGCATCATCGGTCCGCATTGCCCAGCAGTAAGCCCCAACAACAGCATTATAAGTCGGTGCCTCCGGTGGAAACCCACTAGCCTTAGATTTCTCAAAGAACTCAAGAGCTTCATCTAATCTATTACCATTACCAAGACCTATAATCAAAGTACAATATATATGAGGACTAGGACTCACGTTCCTCAATTGCATCTCATGATAAAAACCAATAGCCTCATCATACTTTTTAGCCTTACAATAAGCATTAATGATTATACCATAGGTAACAACATCAGGCTCAAAACCCTCATCCTTCATCTCTCTACAAACCTCATTAACCTTCAACAAATTCTGTTGCTGACTCCAACCTTCTAACAAAATAGTATAAGACTTCAAATTAGGCTCCAAATCCCATTGCCTCATTTTATCAAACAGTTACTGGGCTTTCTCAACATGAAACTTCGACTTACACAAAACATCAATTAACTTATTAAAATCCGATATCTGAGGCTTCAATCCATATCTCTTCATTCTCTCAAATGTCTTCAATGCTTCGTTAACGATCCTCGCTCTAATGTATCTCCGAGCAATGAGAGCAAAAGTGTCACCATTTATCAACTTTAGTTGATTCATTTCATCTACCAGATTCCAAATCATCTTGAACTGTTTGATCTTACCCAATGCTTCAATCAAAGCATGGAAACTCTCTGTACTGTGTTTGAACCCTTTCTGTTTCTCAGCCCAACGGAAGAACGAAAGTGCGAGAATACCAGCATTGCTGAGCTTGTTCAAGACATCAACAACGAGCTCCGGCGATACCTCCGCCGGGAAGTTGCGGAGGGAGACATGGACGGGTGAATCTGGTGCGGTGGATAAGATTTTGCAGATTGTTTCTGCATCTGGGTTGGTGGTGTTGGGTTTATTAACATTAACACGTGAAGTGTGAAATGAAGAAAAAATGATGAATTTGAGAGAGCCGGATGGGTTTTGGATGAATTGATTGGTGGGTTTTGAGGAATGGGGATCAAAATTTGAACTTGGTGATGGTGTTGAAGAAATTGGGTAAGAAGATTTAGAGAGTTGAACAAAATTGGGGAATTTTCTGAATAATCTTGAGAGTGTCATGCTTTCAAGAAATAATTGTTTGTATTACTTTCAAATCGTTATACATAAACTCATCAAAGTTTAATTTTTGAAAAATTTGAAATGACTCAATTTATTTTTGGATTAAAATAACAAGAATCATTAAAATGATTAAAATTTATAAACTACTTTGTTTAAGAAATTTCAAAAAGATATATAAAAGTAAAGAGTTTGTTTTATTAATTCGTAAAATCTAACATGAATGTAGATTAAAATTTGCAACTTCTCATTTATTTACTTTTAAAACTAAAATTTCTAACTATTAAACTACTAGTAAGGAATTTAAAAGTTCTCTCGTTTTATTAATTATTATTAATTTTTAAAATTTTGTAATTGTCAAATTAATTATTATTAATTTTGTAAAATTTTGTAATTTAGTTTCCATATTTTCTAATTTTTTTAAGTTTACCCTAATTTTTTTTTAAAAAACTTACAAATCAATCCTACATAATTTTAAAAAAATTTAAATAGGCCCCTTTAAATTTTCAAAAGTGTAAATTAATCCCTATATTTACATTTTAAATTTATCTTTTAAAATTTATAAAAATAACTCAAAAAGTTTATTAACAAATAATTTTAATATTAATTTATGGGACCAGAAAAAGATCAGCAGTCAGCAACGCGTCGTGAGCTCTTAGTTCGTCGGTGTGGTGGAGAAAAGGAGGGGGTGTATCTGTAAGACACTCCGATGCAAAAGTGAGAAAAAGGAGAGAGTTAGCAAGTACAGAAGCAGGTGAGTTTTGAATACCTGACTCTCATGTGCAAGAGGGTATTTATAATGTGCCCCCAACGCTGAGCCAATGATTATCTGTATTGGGTTAGATCTTCAGGTCCAATACAGATAACTGCCAATATCTACATGGCGTAGGAAAGACCGACAAGTGGTCTTCATCCTGGGTTAACTGCCCTGTGATCTTCGGAAGGTGGGTGACCTGTACTTTCGGACGTGGGTAGTTGCCTGATGACGTGTCCCCGCGTGGGGAGCACATGAAAACCGTGAGGAAGACACGTGAGCGCTCCCCGTGTGGGTTGAGGGGTTAGGCCTTACTGGGCCCTCCCCAACGAAGAGTTGTGTTGGGCCGTGCCCGACGGTGTGCCAACCTCTGCCCCAGTCCAAAGCAGGAGCCTCCCAAGTCATTGCTCCGAAGCGGAGGAGTAATGACTTAAGTCAATCCTGGTGTCGATGAGGGTCGCAAGGACTTGTCCAGAGGAGCGTTGCACGTGCTCGAGGTTCTGAGCTCGCGGGATGATGCATGGGACGTAGGGACTTGTCCAGAGGAGCGTTGCACGTGCTCGAGGTGCTGAGCTCGTGGGGTGATGCATGGGTCGCAAGGACTTGTCCAGAGGAGCGTTGCACGTGCTCAAGGTGCTAAGCTCGCGGGGTGATTGTTACACCCCAAAATTTGCCCTCATTCCTTCATCCCTTTCAAATTCAATGACATAAGGGAGATATATCATATTACAAAGAGAAATTTCATGATATTGCAAGAATGTCACATATGTCACAAAGTTTCTAATTAACTTCATGCTATGGTACCCTTCATGCCCCATCAAGTCCACATGATCCTCTTTGTGCTTACAAACCTCCAAGGAAAATATTTAAAGAGTTAACTCAATATTGAGATATTTCAAGATCAATATTATGCATGTAATCATGGGCAATTTGAATGTGATCCAAAACAATCCTATGCAAGAAGTGACAATTTGCATTATATCACAAAGCCATTTCATGTCACAACTAAAGGAATAGACTTATGGTGATGCATCTACACATCAAATATCAGAATTTTAAAATTTTATCCAAAGGTAGTAGCATTGACCACAAGGGTTGTCCAAGCACAAGCCAACAAAAGTGTACAAGACACAAAGTGCTGCAGAAAAAAAAAACAGGCCTAGGATAGTGCAGTAAAAATACAGCAAAGTAATATACATGGAAATGGAAAGAAAGAGAGTGACATCAAAAAAGTTGCCTTGGACATTTCTAAGTAAAAATCTGAAGTCTTGAAGGGAGAGCAAACCCTAATGTGCTGAGAAAAAAAGAATAAGGAGCAACTGCAAACAATAGGAGGCATTTTTGTAGAGAGTAAGGGCACACATTGACATAGAGAGAGAGAGAGAGAGAGAGAGAGAGAGAGAGAGAGAGAGAGAGAGAGAGAGAGAGAGAGAGAGAGAGAGAGAGAGAGAGAGAGAGAGAGAGAGAGAGAGAGAGAGAGAGAGAGAGAGAGAGAGAGAGAGAGAGAGAGAGAGAGAGACACCCTAAAGAAAACCAGAAAAAATAGAGAGAAAGGAAAGCAAAAAAAATCAAGAGAGTCACATAAAAACAAAAGAGAACTATTGAGAAGCAGAACCTTCAAAACATAGAGTGAAGAGTGAAGAGAACACCCAACCAAAATCAGTGGAGGCTTTGCAAGAAGGATAACAACTCTTTGGTATCCATTTCTTCAAACTTTTCTCTCTTTATTTTTTGCATTTGTCTTTTGTTATCTCTTTTAAGTGTTTTTTATGCTGTGTACCTTGTGTAAGGTCCCAAGAGGGACCAAGAAACCTTTGTAAGAACCAAAAGAAAGAAACAAAACAAAGAAAATGGTTTAGATTTTTCACCCAGCAGGGCTGACATGGGCCGTGTCAGCTGACACGGGCAGCCGTGTCAGCCCACTGTTTAAGTTTCCTTCGCACGCATCTCCCAGGGGTGCTGACACGGGTCGTGTCAGCTGACATGGGCGGCTATGTCAGCTCTCTGTTTTCCTTCAAAAATTAGTGTTCTAGGCATTTCTTGACACAGGCCGTGTCAGCTGACACGGGTGGCCGTGTCAGCTCCCTGTTTTCCTCCAAAAATCAGTGTTCTGGGCATTTTTTGACCCGGGCCGTGTCAACTGACATGGGCGATCGTGTCAGCTCCCTGTTTACCTCAGAAAATCATTGTTGTGGGTACTTTTTGACACGGGTCATGTCAGGACCCTGTTTTTTCACTTTTATTTGCTTTTTCACCTTCAAAAAATTTCATGCCGTTTTTTTTTCATGTTGTGTTTTGATTCAAGCTGACTAACCCGTTGTGTTTGCATGGTCTTTATATGTGGATATTTTGTTATGGTCATTTTTTACCTTTGGTTTCAAAAAAAATATTTTCAAGAAAACAAACTCTCGATTCTCATCGAGCCATTTTTGACCTTGTAAGTCGATTACCTTGTGCATCGCCATCAACCTTGTTTGCATCACCTCAAACTTTTTAAGCAATCAAACCCTTGATCCAACGTCAAGCGGATTTTCTCAAACAACTGTTAAACTAATTCACCATCTTTAATAAAAGGATAAAGTTCTTTTTGTATTGAACTAAAGATAGAGGATTGAGCGTAGACTTCTTCCTCTCCGAGTATCAGGATACTCACTATAGAGTGTATGGTCTCGATACTCGTCTTTCAATACGAAGACGCTTGTATTCATTTCACTTTCTCTCCTAAAACCTCGGTCCTGCACCGAGTGCATTAATTCTTTTCACAACAAAACTTGAACGGTCGTAGAGTGGTTAGGTGTAGGTCTTCTCCTATCCTGAGTGCTTGACATTACCGTAGGGTTCACTATCGCAAAGCACTTACCATTCAAGACCAAAAACATCTTTAATAAAAGAATGAAGTTCTCTTTGTATTGAACTAAAAAGAGAGGATTAAGTGTAGACTTCTTCCTCTCCGAGTGTCAGGATACTCAGTGTAGAGTGCGTGGTCTCCATACTCGTCTTTCAATACGAAGACGCTTGTATTCGACACACCTTTCATAATAAAATTTTGAGATAAAGAATTGGGTACTACCCGCAAGGGTTACTATCCGATGACATATTTCACCCCTAAAAAACAACCTCACAAATCAAATGTGACATCTTGCCTCGCGTGGCGAAAACTAATCTCTTCAAAAAGGATATGTTACGTCCCTTCTATCGCAAACAGGTAATGCCTAAGTCTGCAACGAGCGAACAATAATACACCTAAATTTCTAGAATGCACACGATAACATCATCCACAAAAACATCAGTTAACTGTTTCCCGAACCACGTTTGCTCTGATTTCTCATACCAAATGAGGATACGTAGGCACAAGACGGAGTTGTCTTGGTGAGCACACATTCCCATCACCCGTAGTTCCCCGAACTACGTCGACTCTGACTTTCTCATATCTGTTGAGAATACGTAGGCCTAGGACCGCGAAGTCCTACCGAGTCCTCCCTTCCCCGTTACCTCTCTTTCCCCTGTTTCTAATCTCTCTCTTTACCCCTAGGAACACTCTTTATAAGCAATAACCTTTTAGAAAATAACTTCACACATCGACAAACAAATGGTTCCCATCGAGTACGATGGATGCGAGGGGTGCTAATACCTTCCCTTTGCATAACCAGCATTCCAACCCGTTCATAGTCGTGAGATCATCTTATCTGTTTCTTTCTTAAGGTTTCCTTGTTATTTTCCTTTCCCCTCATGGGATAAATAAAGTTCGGTAGCGACTCTTCTGTCTTTCTTTTCACCTCCCCGTCGTTGCATTTTTTCGAGTAGCGACAGTGATGCATGTGGCCAGCGTAGGCGTCATTAGTTGCGCGCGACAGCGGGGTCGACGGTGGGTTCGATCTGCTCGCCACACGTAGTCGTGGATTTCTTTACAACTTCTCCCGAGGAAGTGCTTCCGACAGCGCAAGGGTCGAGCATTGTGCTCGACAAGTTAGGTGGTGTGACGTAAGTGAAAGGGGCGGACACATAATTCCCTCAAGCAGTGTGTCGGGTTTTGAAAAGACACGCCTGACGTCTCCTTGAGCCATGTGTCGGGAGAAATAAATGCCTATGGAGTATACGGGTAGGGGTGCTTGAGTGCCTATGAGATGCCTTGCTTCCCGCGTTAGGGCTTATAAATAAAAGGGAGGACCGATTCATTTACATGCTCCCCCCATTCTAGCTCAAGAATTTCTCAGTTAAGCTTTTATGCTCTTCTAACGCTCGTTCGTCG